CCAATCAGCACCCCGAGCTGCGCGGCGGCAACGCTGCCATTCATTTCTGGCGGAGGGGCGGGGCCTGGCGCAGGGGTGCAGGGCTGTGGGGGAGGAGAGGAGGGCCCGCAGGGCGGCACCCTGCTAGAAAGGGTCTCCTTGGGCTGTAAACACAGGAGAGGCGGAGGGGAGGGAAAGAGAAATCATAAAGGAGGAGGTGGGCCAAGAACCTGGAAAGCAGTTGTGAAGAAAATAGCAACAAACAAGAACCTCCCCCCCGGCTGTATTCTAGCCCCCGCTTTGTCACTCATTCATTCTTCGTCGTTCATCTCTTCATGCCTCCGTTCATTTATTCCTCCAGCATTTTGAGGGCCAGCTTCCCCTAGGCTATTGTGTGAGGCTCCAGGGCAGATTTTGAAAACCTTCCCTTGGCTGGCATGTGAGGAGGTTGAGACTGACTTACTCTAAGATTCCATGAGAACGGCAAATGGGGGTATCCTCTGCAGGGACCCTTCCACGTTGTCCTCCGATTTTTTATTTTTTTTTTAAATCCAAGCATTTTCCAAATAAACCAAAAAGCAGACCTGAATCAGAATCCTGCTGCTGAACCTAAACTCAGAGGGCTTGCTGGGAGAGAGGTCCAAAGGAAAGCGAACGATGGGTGACTCCTTTCCCTTAACTGTCCTGGAATTTCGGGGTGCTCCCCCCTCCAGGTAGCAGGTCCACACCCTTTCCCCCAACCTCCAAACTGGAGACTCTCCAAGGGACATAAGGCCGGCCCATTAGGAGTGTTTACTGTGCTTGCAGCGGACGGAGCATTGCAAAGCTGGGAATTCTTTCACTCATAATTCTAATTTCCTTTCCTTCCCAGTGGCCTGCTCTAGAAGGGCGCTTTCCGTGGTTATTTCATTAATTTCCCCAGAACTCCAGGAGATAGACATTATCTTACTTATTCCACAGATAAGGAAGCTGAGAGGTTTAGAAACTTGCCAAAAGAAAAACTAGGATTTATACCTAGCTTTGTCTAACACGTAAGCCCCCAAATCCTTTCAGTACACCTGACTGCCTCACCCTAAGTTTTAAAGTACTGTAGTATATATCTCTTTAAAAAAAAACAAAAAACACTTTTTTTTCCCCCCTACACCAAGTCAGAAAAATGAGCGTGGATTCAAAGTTCACTAATCTGCTCTGTCAGGCCACTGGCAAAATGAATTGTTGGGGAAGGGAAAGGTTACAAAGGAAATAACTAGTAAAAATAGATTACAATTAATGGTATGGAAGAACATATGAAAGGTTAAAATAATAACAGTGAACCAACAGATGCCAGGTCACATCCTATCAATGATTTTTGGAATGTGCTGGGATAAGAAGCTGTCAGAGTGTGGTGGAGCTAATTAAGGAATGGGGTGCAGGAGAGAAGGAAGTCTGGAGATGGATTTTGAGAGATGATGGGCATGACTTGGCACAGCCTTTCATATGGGGAGAATGGTTTGAACAAAGATGAGAACTGGCCAGTATGGAGAAAACTTATGAAAGGCTACTTAGGTTTAGAAACACCAATGTGAATGGTATTGACCCAAGGAAAAAATGTATGAGATAAAAATCAGATTAAATTGATAGAATAAAATACATTGACCTACAGTGGCCTCTTCCATAGAAATGCAGGAATATTAACAGAAAGTGGCTTGTTTAAACAATGTGATCACAAATTCAAATCAGCCTCATTGTAGGTGAAATGCTCCCCCCAAAAGTAAAAGCAATCCTCAAAAGATAAAAATACAAAAAACAGCTTTGAATCAATTTTTTAAACACCTGCCACATTTTTAGTGAGGTGTCCTTTTTTAATCTGTTCCTGAGGAAGAGCCCCAAGTATGTTCACAGAAAAGAGGTCCTAGATTTGACTTTGAGATTAGTGTGTGCAGTGGAGCAGAAGAACATGGACATTTTTTCAAATTAGCAGGATGTGACATTTTTGTTGCGCTCAGAGATACGGTTCTTTCTGCAAAACTGCAGACACATCTGCATGGGCACAACCTAGGCCTAGAAGAAAGGATCTGTAATGGAGCAGATGCCAGCTCAGAGTAAACTCCTGGGAGAACACCTGCCTGGTTCGCTGAGGCGCACAGAGATCCCAGGCAGGACGCTGACCACACTAGGAAGCACCTGGAACCCAGTTCTCTGGCTGTGATCGTCCAAACAGAAAGCAGCTCTGCTCCTATGATTTCAGATGCCCCAGGAAAGTTGCCTGAACTTCTGATTGCAAGTCTTGTTCTGTGGCTGGAGTTCAGTTGGTCTCTTTACAAAGACGACAAAGTAAAACAATTATTAAAATGTAAGTGTTCCCAGCCTTTCCCCTTTCCTGAAAAAATAGGAATGCTGTCTTTCCCTTCTTAGTCTTTTGTCCACATTCCATGATGGTATGGTCTGAATGTTTGTGTCTCTTCCCCCCAATATTAATCTGTTGAAATGCTAATGCTCAATGTGATGATATTAGGAAGTGGGGCCTTTGGGAGGAGATTAGGGCAGCCACCATGCTCATGAATGAGAGTAATGCCCTCATATAAAAGAGGTCTGAGAGAGTTCCCTGGCCATGTGAGGACACAGGGAGAAGTCAGCAGTCTGCAACCAGAGAGCCTTCACAGAACCTGGCCACGCTGGCACTCTGATCTTGGACTTCCAGTCTCCAGAACTGTGGGAAATACATTTCTATTGTTTATAAGCCACCCAGTCTGTGATATTTTGTTATAGCAGTTTGAATAGACTAAGACACCTGACCTTTGAGGAGTACCTGTCTCTTTCATACCTTGTTCCTGGACTTTCATGATGAAAACAATGGGAAGAAAAGGAGATCTGGAGAGAAAGGAAAGGCCTTGGTAGTTAGGCTATATTGATCTACATGATGAGGGTAAGAAAAAAAAAAAACATTTCATAATCTAGGGGACATTGATTGGTAAAGGTATTTTGTGAGGGGAAGAAATGAGCTAAGTAAGAGGATTCATGGAATTGTGAGAGATGATAATAGGAAAGGGATTGTGAGAAGTTTTGCTAAGGCTAAGAGTTGGATATCCTAATATTTTCCAAGTAACGTTTAGCTCCCCTTCTCTATAACTCTTGGCTGTTTGGTTGTATTTATTTGAAAGTGACTTCTTTCAGAGACTGGACCAGATAGAAGAGGGATGTACAGTGTTTGCAAAGATTCAACTTTTTGAGTGCCTAACATGGGCTTGAAAATTTTACATCTATTAGCACATTTTATCCTTAAGACTGTTCTGTGGGAGTAGATAATATCATGTCTATTTTATAGCTGAAGACGTGAAAGCTTAGAGAGGTTTTGTGAGTTACTAACATTTGTAAGTGTAAATAAAAACGTAAAGATTTGAGCCCAGGCTGTCTGACCCCAAGTCCAGGGCTTTCCCCCTCCGGCCCTCCCTGGAGTTGGGGTCAGACAACCTAGACTCAAATTCCTGGCACCTGCTACATGCATGTCTTCCCCCTAGCAGAAACACAAACCTAAAAGATTCTCTAAAAGCACAGGCAAGTCACGTCGACTGTTACTAAAGTTCTTGTGAATATGGAAAAGGGAATTACATTGTGCATCACTCTTAAACATCTGTGTCTCCTAAATTCTACATCCCATGTGAGCTGCCAAACAACCCATTTCCCACCCAACATTTCTTCTCCATGCCATTTGGGAAAACCCTCCACCTCCAGAAGGTCTGTCTGTACATTTTCTCACAAAAAGAAATTTGGTCTTTGACTTTTGGCTTCTGTCATTTGCATCCCAGCAATCACTCTGCTGAGCAAAACCAAGGGCCTTCATGGCGATCTATTTTCTTTAGAAGATACAGGAAGGGAAGGGGTTGAAAATAACTAATGACATATTATTTTTCTGTATCACACATTTATTCAGTGAATATTTATTGAAAGTCTCATGAGCTAGATGCAGATGTCTTATCTTCAAGGAACCTCCAGGTGGTGGGAGAGAAAAACAGTTGACCATAAATCACTGTTCAGTGTATCAAGTGCTATGATGGAATATTGTTTATGATGCTTTAGTGGCAAATAAGAATCTCTAATGATACTAAGGCGGGGCAGGGAAGGGGGACTTTGAAGATGAGGTGGCATTGGGACTTAGTACCCAGTGATTAGATGAGAGAGAGTAAATAAGTGAGTGATAAAGAAGTTGACACTTAGCCCTGGCCTGTGTGGCTTCATTGGTTGAGAGTTATCCTATGCACCCAAAGGCCACCAGTTAGATTCCCCAGTAGGGATATGCAGGAGGCAGCCCATTGATGCTTCTCTCTCCCCTTCTCCTTTCCCCTCTTTCTCTCAAATCAATAAAAATATATTTTTTAAAAAGAGAGAGAAAAGATTTTTTTAGAAAGTTGATGTTCAGAGGAGAGAGAATACAGCATATGCAAAAGCACTATATGTTTGAAGACCTACAATTCTACATGATACAAATGGAAGTCATTTGTGAAGTGTGGCAGGTGAAGATGGAGGGGTAAGAAGGGTCCAGATTAAACAAAAAACTCATTGGATCAATATTTGGAGTTTAT